AGGAAGCTGTATGCCTATATCAGGTCTCCGATGGCTTCACAGCTCTTTCAGGTTATGTGGCATGTGTGTAAAAACTTGACATCTCTGCTTTGTACAAGGAAGACTGGTTAGAGCTGCACATGTTCAAGGAGGGCCTCTGTTGAATAGAATTGGCCAAATCAGATTAAAAACCCAATATCTATGATGAAGGCTGCAAGCTGCCTGCTCAGAGAGGTTCCACTCATGTGAACTAGAAGCTCCTTGCATGTGGTCAGGGCCTAAATTTGATACTGGAATTTAAAAACAAATTAAGATTCCCATGTAATATTGACTTCTTTTTTTTTTTCCAGAGTAAAAGATTTTACAGCATGGAATGCTACATGCAGTGGTTACATGAGTCCAAGTAATTGTACCAATTATATAATTTGATATAATTGCACTAATTACATAAACACATAATAATGAAATATAAGTTATTCCAAGAGCTAAACTGGAAGAACATTAAAGAACCTAAATCTGCTCCCACTTATTCTAGTACAAATCAGAAACAATTCCCCTGAAATCAATGAAGTTATGCAAATAAAATTGGCCCCTACTATTACAAGCAGCCAGGTAAATCTAGATTTTGGTTCCAGGATACTGACTGGGAGAGCAAGTGAAAGCTACTGGGGTATTTTGTACTGACAGAGACGGATAATTCCTGGCCAAATTCCAGTGTATGCAGGGAGATTCTCCCCATGTTCGTGACCAGGTTAGGCGTCTTCTCCTCTTGTTCTGATCTGTCATGCAGCATCTGTGGGATTTGCTAAGTCTTTTAGCTGCTGATCCTAAAGCAAAAAAAAAAAAAAATTTTTTTAGAAATACTGAGAATGAGCTGGGCCCAATCAGGATTCCAAGAAAAGCAGATTCAGGTGTGCCTTTAGTTATATTGGTGCTAGCCTGAATTATATCTGCAGACTATAGGGGAGCCACCGCAGACTGACACCAGTATTAGCAGAAACAGACTCTCCTCTTAGACAAAAATTTGTATTTCTGATCCATTTTGCAAAGTGTTCTTCAACCCTTTATGCTAGAAACCACTGCAAACAAAGATTATTCTTAAGGATCCGTTCAGTGAGGGGTTTCCCTCTTCCCCCATGGCGGGGGGGTGCAGTAATTAATTTCAGCTGCTGACTTCATCTCTCACAAGTAACACAGAAGGCGAGACCTGGCAATTTTGGGGCAGGTGTCTATTATGTGTGGAAATACGTGATGTATGCAGAGTTAATCCACCAAGTGCTCTGTTACACCACATCGTGACAGTCACCCTGTTCACACCGTCCTCATTAACGCCAGTGGGAGATCCAGGCACAGGGACTGGGCTTTTGCCTGTGTTAGAATATTTTAAAGGACAAAGATTTCCCAGCTGCAGAGACTGATTCTGTCACATGATGGAATACAATGATTTAGCATTTACAGGACCAAACTCAAAGCCTATCAGAGACAAGAGAGAGACACCTAGTCACCTCAGGGCGGGTATGGACCGACCTGACCCAGATGGTTTTGTAGATACAGTACCTAACAGCATAAGGCAATGAAACCGGATGCTGAGTTTTGTAAGGATGGGAATGACAGATGGGAAAATAAAACCCAAAGTTTTCAAAATCAACCATCAAGTTTGGGCATCTCACTTTTCGTTTTGCACGATCTCAAAAATGCAGGAGGTGGAAGCTGCAAGAACTGGCACTCCTGCAGCCCCCTGCAAAAAGCTGGCATGAGCAGTAGCCTTGTCACATCTCTGAAGAATCAAGCCCAAACTGTCTCAGATTGGTCCCTCAAAATTAAAGACCTTTCAAATTTTATTTCATTTTAGCCTCAGAAATCTGTGTGACAGGTTGCTGTCAGCACCAGGACACTGGAATACCTCGCTCTCTGCAGCACACCCAGAGCAGTGAGTGACGCCACACCACAGAAAACTCAAAGCACGTTCTGTTCAGATCAGTTTCCAGAGATAGTTTCACACAAAATAAAAGGACTTGGGAGCCTGGTCTATGATCCAGCTCTTCCCACTCCCAGATGATGCCCCTCACGTACTGATTCGTGCTCTTCTTTGTCCTTCTCTTTCTGCCCCATGAACGTCAGGGCCACAGCTGCAGATGGGGGAGCAGGAAAGGCAGAGCAAGAAAGCTCTGAAAGCTGTTTGCCAAGAAAAGGGGTGTTCTTTGCCGGCCTCTGTGAAAAAGTTCAAGATCCTGGGCTTGCTTGTGCGTTTGCAGGGGGATGCAAAGCACAGCCCACTCCTGCTCCTTGCTCCTGGCCAGCCCAAGCTCATGGCACCCTGGCTGCCAGCAGCTCCCTGCTCCTCGGGCCTGCAGGTTCAAATCCCACACTGAGACACCCTGCTCTCCTCCTGGGCGAGCACAGGAGTCCCAGTGTTCAGTGCTTCAACCGCAGAAATCAACCACTTTCAATTAAGCATGAAACCTAACTGGACCCAGCCTCCAGGGCCTTGCATTTCAGTGGGCAAGATTTCTTAATATATCCCATTTTTAAAAGTGCAGCCCAGTCTTACTAATGAAGACTGTGTCATATTGAGTCAAATGTGCCTTCGCATTTGTGTGAAGGGACGTGCATGGGCCACTGATTTCAAGGGGAATTTGTTGAACTCACCAGTAACAGGGTTGACCCAAGGAACAAAGACAGGGGAGAAGGCTGCTAAGAGATGGAGCCGGAACAGCGAGCAGTGGCTTTGACAATAAACGTGCAGTTTGAGATGGTGAGAAAGCTATGAAATATTCAAAAAATTTGGTCTGGGGGGCAAAGTTCTGCGCAGCAGGTTGTTGACACAGCCACAGCAAATTGCTCCTAGAGGTCTCCCGAAACAAAGCTGTTTAAGCCCAGTGTCTGGCTTTGGGGAGGGGTGGGCAGAGCTACGCTTGAATGTGAATTGTAACTAGAACCCATCATTAGTTGCACGAACTTGCTTCTTCAACACTTTCCAGGTCTCAGGGTCAGATCTAACGTTTGCTAAGTCAACAGAGGTCCTTCTGTCAGCTTCAGCTGGCATTTGCTCAGGTCTCTAGGAGGAAGAATTTATCTGTGAAGATCAATGAAATCAATATCTATTTTTCTATGAATATTTGTCAACATTTGGGGGTTTTTATTAGTAAAGGGGATGTATTTAACTCAAAAAAACTCTCCTTGGTGCCAGCTAATTTAAAAAAAAAAAAAAAGTTTAAACTCAGTATTGACATCTTTTTCCTGGAAGTGCTTTCCACATTATCCTTTTTACTTCTTGTAACCGATCAGGGAGTGACCTAGACAAGAAGTTACATTCTTACACAGCAGGTGAACCAGGAACTTGCTGTAAATGACCTGCAGGTATGCGGAACAGCGTAGTTCCTGCGCCCAGAGACCCTGCACTGATGCAGACAGAAAGAAGCAGATGCTTACACATATAGACGGCAATAAAACTAGAGTGTAACATTTTTAGGATCACAGCTGAGCTCTCAGACAAGGCTTTCTGCAATGACTAATACGACTACGGTCTAATGCGACAGTTCACCGTCTGCAGCCGCATTCAGTCCTGAAAGCAAGCAAGTTTCTCCAGATGTTACTGAAAAAAAAAAAAAAGTACATCCAGTTTTCAATCTTTTTTTATTTATTTAAACTGTACACAAATGTAAAATACTTCAACAGCAGATCTAAGTGAAAATTGTTTGGTTTAAATTATTATGGAACAGAACCTAAAAGGAACTTTATTAAATAAACATAAAAATTGGATTTAAAGGATGCACATATTGTAATGTATTCTACAATAGTAATTTTTTTTTTCACTCTACGTTCCATGTGCGTATGGTATAGAAAAGACACTGAATAGAACAAACAGAATCCATTTTGTACCCTGAAACAATTGGTAGGCCTCGTGACGGATTGCTCAGTATGACTACATGATATATGATGGCTTTGCCATCTCATAAAAATTATAACTAATATGTTGGCCTCTTTGGTTCCAAAATTTATGTATAATACATTTAACTGTATTCATTTTTTGCTGCTATAAAAATAACATTTTTTTCAAATGGCAGTTTTTTGACTAATCATGCAACTAAATCAGTGCAAACATTAAAAGCAATCATTCGCTTTAAAAAAGAAGCAAAAGATTTAATTTCAAGTATAAAAAAATATAAAAAAGTCATATCATAAGTCCAGTTTCGTCTAGTATGGGTCAACACTTTAAATTGCATAGCTCATGCGGCACCTGTTTACCTAGATAGTGAGCAAAGATAAGTGCACTATCAAGTACCACTTTTCAAGGCATTGAAATTTGCAAGTGCTATTATACGTGCATTCAAGCAGTTTGCAAGTGCTATGCTGTATCATTATTTTCCGATCTTTACGGCCATCCTCGACACCTCCTGGTAAGGAAATTGAAAGCACTCTCCTCCTTTCCAAGACTTGTTAAAATGTTCTTTGCCTGTTATTAAACGCACTGCATTTTTCAGAATGTCTCCACTCTGTTACTGTCACTCCTCTTTAGGGTTCATTGGTTTAGCCGTGGTAGCGGTTGCTTGTTTGCTTATCCCCCACATGACGTGTCCTTGCCGAGTCCCCCGTTGAAGAACACAGATTGAAACCTTAACTTTTCATTCTCTGAACAGCGAGAGATGCCAACGGTCAACACAGTCCAGATACGGTATCGGATCCCCTTTTCCAAGACACGGCAGGTGTAGCCATCCACGGGTTGCTAGGGGGCAGTTTAAGCATCGGATCACGCCAGCCCAGCTTGTGACTGCGCTACGGTCAGATGTTAGAAATACAGCAGTTGCTTATGTGTCTGTCTCCTTTTCTCTCTCTGTGATGGTACCACACGATTCCTTACTGGAAGTGCTGTAGGAAGATGCGGGTATCTGTGATGTTTACATTTAGATAAATTTAAATTAAGAGGAAGTGATCACCTCCCAAGGCAGGTGTCCTGCAGCTTCCCGTTAGACCTAAGAGGTGACAGTCAACTTTTTTTTTTTTTTTTTTTTTTTTAATTTTCTAAGTTTGGTCATTTCGACACCTGCTTGCAAGAATACGTCGTGTTCTTGCAGTCTGTGCTTTTGCCTGAGCAAAGGGAGCTCATTTCGGTCTGACTTCGCCGGCAGGTGGGGAAACAGCTGCTCAGCCGTTCACTCGTACTGGCAGGCATTTAGGTCCGTCGTCACTGGTCACTGACTTTCTGTGCTCACGTCCCTTTTCCGAGCTGCCTCGTGTGTGTGTCTGTGTGTGTGTATGAGCGCGTGTTTGCGTGCGTGCCCACGTTTCGTGTGTGTGTGTGTGTGTGTGTCTTTAAGATATTTCATAGCATTAACTTATAAGTGGTAGAATATATAAGTGTCCAAGATCCACAAACTGCCACTGTCCTGACACCAAAGTGAAATGATTTTTTTTTTTTTTTTTCTGTCAAACTTTTCCACAGTGACTTTCCAACACTGATGCCTGGATACACAGTGAAGCTTCCTCCAACACCATCTCGTACGGGAATGTTTCTCTCTTTCTCTCGCCCCCTCTCTCTCTCTCCCCCCCCCCCACACACAACCTTAAATCAAGCACAACCACATTCTTCCACAATCATATTGGGAACGTCCCTTTTCACAATGTTGTATTCATCATCAAAGTACAGCATTGACATTGTGCTAAGTTTGGTTGGAATGCAACAGGAGTTCACGGTGCCCGGGTTCAGCCCCCGCATTCGGTACTGATTCACGACGGCGGTGTGAAAGGAGGAAGCCGACCCCGGGACGCCGGCCAAGTAGGCCGGGCAGCTCCCTTCACAGTAATTCCCATAGTAACCTGATGGTGCTATGATCCAGTCATTCCACCCAATGAGTCTAAAGTCAATGTAAAACTGTTGCCTGCAACATAGATTGGTCCTGCCATCGCACTCCAGGCCTCTTTTCCGGATCCTGTGTTTGTTATCGGCGAGGCGGGCTTGCACCACTAAAAAAGGCCGGTGGGATTCCTCCCCGGGGTCCACATAAATTGGCAGCACTGAATACTCTTCACAGCCCTCACATTGAACATCCAAGTTCAGTCTCCTTTCTCCTCTCTCAAACAGAGCCTGGATCGCCTCTGTCATGGGAAAAGTGTGCCAACCACTTCTTTTGAGATCAACTTTCTTTTCAACCACATTCCACTTGTTGCTAGTGTCCGGGTCTTGGAAATAGACTTTGACTCTTACTTTTCGCCTGCTCCCTTTCTCTAAGACATATGGAAGCAGCTTCAAGTAAAGCCACAGGCTGGCTTGAACGACAAACAAGTTCTGGTTCCCTTCATTCGAGATGAAGAAATAGAGGCGGACTCTAGATGAGGTCAGATCGTCTGCAAGATAAGGAGAGATCAGCAAGATTAAGTCAAAAAGGAAACGTCAGCTTGTGTGCCATTCTGGATTCAGGGGCAATGCTAGGGCACAGCAGATCGAGAGAGCGACGGTGGGGCTGTGCCGGCCAGAAGGCACGCACTGAATCAGATATCCCCAATTTGCAATCGAAATGCTTTGAAAGGGGACTTCCCACGGCGACGTTCATCACCGGGCTGTAGTCGGATGCGTCAGATCCACAGATACTAGTAAGAGCTCTCCAGAACTGGGTATTTCCAGCCAGCCAGCTTTAAAGACACCACAGCAGCACCTTGAAAAGACCGGCACTCGGACTCTGCTATCTCATCGGTTTAAGAACAGTTTTAACTTTCAGCTACCTGCCGATTCTCACGGGGAAAGCCCTTTCAATAACCACTGAAACGCCAATGCCAAACCAGGGATTTTGTTTCGGTTTTCACATATTCTCGTCACAGTTTAACAGAGAGGATTCATGAGGCGGAGGGGAAAACATTTCAGTGATGTGCCTGCTTGTCCGACAGATCAACCTAACCCCCACTTAGTCTGGTAGAATATCTGCTATTACGAATCATTTTGATCTCTGCCTTTTCGTCCCAAAACGATAAACTCCCATTCAAGGCGAGGCAATGAAGCGGTTGCTCTCGCTGTAACGTCGTTACCGACTGTTCTCAATACGCTTTTCAATAACACCAGAATTAAAGGAGCGAAATCGTCACGGAAAACCAAATGTCACCAAATGTCTGACATAACCCCTTATTTGTAAACAAAAGAGCCTGCTGCACGAAACGTTTCAGAAATACCAGCGGCCCTGCTGCAGTTTTGTACTATAAGTCCTAACTGAATTTGGCGTCGGTGATAAATGTGCAAGCTGGCCTTTACGGCGGAGACTGTAATTCTGGTCCCTGAATCAAAGCCTCCGAATCACTATTTAAAATTATTGCTGGAAAGGCATTTTCTCATCTGCCCTTATCTGTTTCACTTCTTTCTGTACAGAGCCAAATGTAGACTTTTTTTTTTCTTCCTTCTCTTTTTCTAAGAATCTTGATTATTTTTGTCAATCTCTGAATGGGATTTTTTGCATAGCCGTGTCTTCATTTGTTACCCTAGATGCCTTTCGAATGTGCCTCCAGGGCCCATTCGGTACCTTGTAATATTTCGGGGACAAAAATTTTCACTGTGTTTGTCTACATTTTACATAAAGTCAGTTTTGGAAGTGTTACAAAAGCCAGCAATTGATTGAATACTAAATGGAAGTACAAGCCCACCCCAGGTCTCCCAACAACAGCCTATTAAAAAAACCCAAAATGTACCCTGAGAAAGCCTTTTGCATGTTAGTAAATACACAACTTCTTTATAAACTGTGGTGACAGTGACAGAAAAAGAACAGTACAGTGTTGCCGCACCGATCCACATCACTTGTGTTGTGTGAGATTGTGTGTGCCCATAAATTTTGTATGTGAATATAACAAGCATATGTATAATGCAACAGATCCCATAGATACTGTAAATGTATATGCCTTTGGTAAGTGGGAGGGTAGATAAAGAAGATGAGTGGGCAGTATACAGGATAGAAAGAGATTTATTTTGTGGACAAATGATACAGAGATGCCACAGGAAGATAGAGAGAGGGAAAAAAAATTAACTGAGCGATAGAGCGATGACGGAAAGGAGAGATGGGCAGATAGACAGGAGAGAGCTAATTGCAGAGCGATGGTGTTACGGCCAGATGTGCAAAGTTCACAGGCACAGCGGTTGCCTGGATGACCCGCTGGAAAGCTACGCTGAAGGGATTCGGTGACACGCAACTGCAATGGCTGGACAGGACTGAGATGGCTGGTACCGTGGGGATGGATGGCCCAGTTAGTAAACAGACCGACGGACAGAGAGGAGGCAGACACGCTTGGGAGGAGGCTGCACACGGTGGACAAACAGACAAGGCCAACACCACAAACGAAAGCTGAATAAACGGGAAAAGAACGGAAAGGGGGGACGGGTGAAGGCGAGCCTCGAGACACAGACGCACGCAGTGAACCAGATGAACGCGCAGGGCAGGCAGATGAGGGAAAGGACGCGAGAGATGGAGTGGGACAGGCGGAGGAGGGCCAGCGGGACGCAGAGGGAC